TGAGCTAACCAGCTGTTTGGCGTGATTTTGTCAACAAAATCCTGGGTCAGGTCATAGGGATGTCTGTCATGGAGTGCCTTTCTTATCCATGATTGCTTAATGATGTCTATGCTATTTATATGTTGTGAATGTAAATTTAATGGTGTATTATTTGAGTTTGCTAGAGTTACTGCTTTATGTAACTGTGACATTTCTTGTTTTTTGTAGAAAAACTCTTGCAATGTCTGTATTTGTTTGTACTGGAGGTTAACTATGTCGATTAGGCCACATCTGCCATCTTTACGTGGAAGGGTTAATCTTTCTATGGCAGATTTAGGATGATGTTGTTTATGCTTAGTAAGTGTTGTTCTTGTTTTCATTTGGCGTTGCTCAAGATCTGTGTGAGTCCAATGTATAACTCCTAAAGAATAAGTGAGTAGTGGGACGGCATATGTGTTTATTTTTTTAACATCATTTTATTTCATCAGTGAATGAAATACAAGCATAAGAAACACAAGAACTGTGATAAAAATATATAAATAAAACTTGAAATTAATAGAATATGTAAAAGTTCACATCACACCTTTTATCTTATGATGGCGCACCGGTTGCGGAACACTGGTCTAGAAGACAAAATACATAATTAATTAAAAGATATAATTATAGCATCTGATACCATGTGATATAATTAAGGCAGTTGACTTCATATTCCTTCAAGAGGGTTAAAATTTGAAAATTTTTCAACTGCATTTGCATAAATTGAGGGATTATTATATGTACATAATGTCTCATTTATGCAAATAAATATTGATTAAGGATGCACTGATAAGCAAAATGGCCAATTACCGATTAATAGGCCATGCATTATCGGCCGATTAGTGTTAATAATTTATTGCGTTAATAGTGTGAGATCCTGGAGTTAATTATAATGTGGAAAAAACCCATTTTTCTCCTCCTGGTATTTCTTTCTCCCTTGGGTCAGGTAAACAAGAGATGATCGAATATCCTCTCAAAATCAACAATCTTGTCCTTTGTTTGGAAAGCTTCTAAAATAAATCTCAACACTTAATTGTCGACACATGGAAACTTCAACATTGTTTAAAAAGCTGAAGTGTTTCTGTGTTAATGAAAACAAAATATATTTCTTTAACTGCTGATATTTGGACAGCAACTACAAACAATTCTCCTTTTTTAAGTGTAACAGCTCACTGGTTGAAGGATGATTTTCAGTAGGAAAGAGCTGTTTTGCAAATTGCTCCCTTTGAAGGTTCCCACACAGCTACATGAATCAATGAACAGACAAAAATTGAACAGTATAAGTTGACAAGTGATAAGATACTCTTAGTACTGAGAGATTCTGCAGCAAATATGGTAGCTGGAATTAGGAATTGCAACTTAGAAGCATTATCATGCTTTATACATACACTGCAGCTGACACTAAACGAATGTATATTTTCTCAACGAGATGTGAAAACTATAATCATAATTAATAGAAATATTGTCATACATTTTAATCATTCTGCTGTATCTGTAAACAAATTGGAAGATTTGAAAGACAAGTTACATTTGCAGAAAAACAAATTAATTCAAGATGTTCCTACTTGCTGGAATTCTACATACTACATGTTGGAACAGCAAAAAGCCCTTGTCACATATGTTATAGATCAGTATTTTTCAACCTTTTTGAATACGCGACCTCTTTACAAGTTAAAAAATTCTGGCGACCCCCCAGGGCCATATTAAAACTATATCAGTGATTTTAAAAACTAAGTATTTTATTTTCTTTCTTTAAATATTGATCGAAAAACTAATTGTACTGTAAAATAAACAGGCACAGCCTTCTCACTGAAATTCTAGTTTTTTTTATGGTAGTGTAGGACCTACAAACACTTGTCTTTTTCTTTCACCCACGACCCCCGTGTAAGGCTTTGCGACTCCCCTGGGGGTCGCGACCCACAGGTTGAAAAACACTGTTATAGATAATAAAATTCCTATGTTGAGCCCATATCAGTGGTCTCTCATTGAAAAAAAATTGTTCTACTTTTAAAATCATTCAAAGAAATTACTGTGGAAGTCAGCAAACGAGAAACCACCTCATCTTCAATAATTCCCACAATAGAGACTCTGAAATTATTCTTATCAAAAGCAAAGAGTAGTAGTTTCTTTAGTGGCATTAATACCACAATAGAAAGACTAGAAAATCCAATAAATAAAAAAAAGATTTTCAGCATATATAGAAAACAAGTTTTTATGCTTGTCATCTTTATTAGATCCAAGATTCAAAATGAAATTTCAAAAGGAGGATATGGTAGAGAAAATAAAAATATGGGCAATTGATAGCTTAGAAGATGTTGATAATTCAAAATCTCAATAAGAATTAAATTATGAAGCTTCTACTTCTGGAGATGATCAAGATGATGGGGAATCTCTAAGTTTTTTGATTTATTTGATGAATTAGCTTCTGGTAAATGAAAGAATGAAGAATAGCATGTTTAAAAAAAGAAAGAAAAAAACGAAAGAAATGAACAAACATTTCGATCAAGAATTAGAAACATATTTACATTTACCCCTTGAACAAAGACATAGTGACCTATTTTTGTGATGGAGACATTGAAAAGAACTTTTCCTAATTTGAGCAAAATAGCTATGAAATATTTAAGTGCCCCAGCATCTTCCATTGAAAGTGAAAGAATTTTCAGCACTGGAGGTGACATTTATGAGCTGGCAAGAAATAGATTATGCTCTGAAAATGGTGAAATTCTCTGTTTTTGCATCAATTTAAGGGTTTTACAGTTTGAATATAAAATTTTTATTTGTTTTATGTTTAAAGTTTAAACTTTAAATAAAAAAGATAGCTTTGAATAGGTCATACACCTTATAATTTGTATTGATAAAAGGAATAATTTGAATTGTAAAATTTTCTTAATATTCAGTTTGTCATGTAATAAATAATAAATAACAGAAATTTATTATATTTTATTACTAGCATTATACGTAACATACTAACAAAAATACCAAATTGCAAAATTGGCCGATTATCAAAACCGATTAATCAGAGAAATGGCTGATACCGATTAAATAAATATATATATCCAATCCATATCAATCTATTGTCAGATATTGGAATTAATAATATCTAGTACATAGATATTATTACAAAGTTAATAATCTACATTGATATCCTGAAAACTTAGTATTCTTTACTAATAAGAAAAAAAAACTGTAATACTCAATACATCAATTTTACATCATACAGAAATTTTAATACGGAATTATCAGTTGCAGAAAATTAAAATCATAACTTTCAGAAGAAAGAACATATTCCAAATAAAATATACATTGGAAATATAGTTTTGGAATGCACGAATTTATTCAGATGTTCATTCACTTCAAACAAACAATGTTATCAAATATCTTAGTTATAAATCTGATGTACCTAGAAGAAAGAGAGATTCATTTATGAATAATGTCTTTTTTTTCTAAACTCAAAAATGACAGAAACACTTAGAATAATCAGTTAATTTCAATGTAATAAAAATTTAGAGTTAAACCATAAAATGATGGCAAGACCAGTGTTCATCTAATGGAAGTGAAGCATGGATTCTCATAAAGTGGAATGAGCAATGATTTACTTCAGCAGAAATGGGATTCTTGAGAACTATGGATACATACCATTTGATAGAAGAAAAATGAAAAGATATATCAGTTCAAGAGATGTGTTAATTTTGTAAGAATTGCAAAATTTTTTGATTTTTTTTTTGTTTTAAGAATAATGCATCATTCATTTTTTTAATGAGAAAGTGAAAAAATGACATCAGTTTGATTTAAAAGTGTGCAACATTCTAATAAAATTGCATCTAAGATAATTTCAAAAATAGAATATAAAGACAGGACTATAGAGATATTTTAGTTCATTATATCTATAAAATGGATAGACCAAGTTGCCTTGAAAATATATTCAAAAAAAATTCTCAGATATTATTAGGAAGATCGAGCAAAAGATCTTAAATAGATTGCTACACTACTACAGTGAAACCTTGCTTAATAAGCATAATTTGTTCCAGAATCTTACTTGTTAAAGCAAAACAATTTTTCCCATGTAAATTAATGTAAAATACAATAATGCGTTCCATGCTAAAAAAAAAATATTCAAATATTTTATGTATAATGTTTATTCAAAGAAAATTATACAATATACATTGTTAAGGAGCGTGAACCATCATCATCATCATTTCTTCTAGTGCTGAATGAACCAACCTGGAATGCAAATTTGATTTGCAGAAATAAAAAAAAAAATTGAAATACATTAATTTCTAATATTTAATTATAACCTTTACATAGCCCAAGAATTTGGCATATCGTTTGGCATGTTTATTATATAACAGGCTACGGTTGTTGATGTTTATATGTAATATGTCTGAACACAAGTTTTGAAAAATGTATGATCACAAGTGACACTAAGATGCTAGCAGAATGAGTGCTAAACTCAGACTGGTGTAGCATGCACACAATCTGGGCCTTCCCCTCTCCTCATCACTTGTTATGTGAAACATTGCTCATTAAGCAAGTCATTTTTTTATAATTTGCTTTGCTCGTTATGCGAATTACTTATGAGAGGTGCTCGTTAAGTGAGGTTCCACTGTATTGTAAAAAATAATAATGATTAAATTTTCCAGAAATAATAAGTTCAGAATATAGTAAAATTTTTTATTTTGTTTCAGTATTTTTATGTAAAATTTTAAATTATTTTTTTAAAAAAATTTTATGACTTAATTGTAACTGATTGGGTATTTTTCTTCAGGTATTAGATTTTATATTTTAATGTAAAATGTTTCTTTTGGGTTATTTTTATTCTTATGTTGTAACCCATTATAATAGACCAAGTTAATAAACATGATTATTGATTAATATTTGTAGGTTATGAAATCAAAATGATTTCATAACCTACAAATATAATATAATCCATATTAAAATCTTAAAAGTCTTAGTAAGAAATAATAATTATTTTTATCATTGCTAAGGTGTAGGCCCAGATCTGACTGAAGAAACACTTCTGCGCAGTATTGCAACTGCTCTTCATGTTAGTGCACAACCAATAACAGGTCAAACAGGCTCCAAGTCTGGATTAGAGAAAAATCCTGGTGTTCATATTAATCCTGATCAACCCTTAGTTCAGGTAGACCATATAATAAATTTACAGTAGAGCGTCATTTATCCGAATCAATTGGGGACTGGGGTTGTTCAGATAACTTATTTTTCAGATAACTGATTATGTATAAAAAAATATATTAACCTATCCCATGTTGAAATTTTTCTCTGTTGCGTGTCGCTTTGTGTTGAATTTACATCAATGTTAAGCCTAGCGAAAACTTTTATAATAATAATCTTGGTTATTTTATCATTAAAAATGATTTCTTTATTTTGTACAAACAAAATAAATATATTGAAAAATATAAAAACAAAAAAAAAATACTTTAGAAGTTAATCTAGTATCAAAAACGTTCAATTCAGCACGACACACAGTTCCCAGAAAAACACTACACAAAAGTGCCAGTGCTGCCAGCTAAAACACACACACACCAACAAAAAAAATATTAGATTAGCCCACGACATAGCCAAAGCAGCCCACAGCATTAGCGGAAATTTAAATTTGCCGACTGGAATGCTTTTGATTAACCGACGTTTCAATTGACCAGCTTTCGGATAAACGACGCTCTACTGTATAACTGAAATTCTGATACATTATTTGTAATCTATACTAATATTATAAAGAGGTAATGTTTGTAAGTAAGTATGTATGTATGTATGTATGTAAGTTTGTTTCCAGCAGGTAATCTCTGAAACTACTCATCCGATTTCAAAAATTCTTTCACCAATATTTAGAATGGAACCTCAGGGTGGACATAGGCTGTATATTATTCCGTTAAACATTCATATAAATTAAAATATATAATCTAGGTTAAGGCTTTTATGTCCAACAGATGGCGCTACGAGTACGACGCCCTAAGTTTGCTTTTCTGTGA